GAGGACAACTGGACCCCGTCCTCCAAGCACGAGCCCCATGCCCAACGTACTGCACAAGTAACGCAGTACCCTCTTCACAGCATCCCAGTGCACCTTTCGGTGCCTGCCGGGAGCCACGTAGCGAGCCAGGAGGCTTAGAGGGTACGCGAGGTCAGGTTGAGTGCAAGTCATCAGGTACATGAGGCAACCCACAAGCTCTGGGTATGGACCACTCGGCTCTACGGACTCGTCCGAAGGTGGAGCTGAGAGCGAGTGGCTGGTAGACAGAGGAGTGGGCTGTGGCGAGGAGAACTGGAAGCCGAAGCGCTGAAGGACCTGGTGCACCATGTGTGACTGAGTCAGGATGATGGTGCACCGTGCTCTGTCCCGGGTGATCTGCAAGCCAAGATAGCTGCGCAGTTCACCCAGGTCAGTGCAGGTGTGTCTTTTCTGCAGCCCCAACTTCACAAGAGTCAGTGACTCAGTGTCAGCAGTGGCAAAGATGAGGTCGACGAAGTAGACAAGGACGTAGAACGGCGGCAGCGAGGTGTCGGTGCGTAGAAACAGCGACGGGTCAGCAGTAGTAGGAGCAAACCCAAGAGCCGCAAGTGTAGTCCTCAGTGTGTCGTGCCACTCACGAGGCGCATGGCAGAGACCGTCAACTGGCCGGAGAAGACTCCACTGAGTACCTACAGAAAAAGACTCAGTGAAACCAGGTGGGCGGCGCAACCAGATCTCCTCGTGCAGGCTGCCCTGGAGGAACGCTGTACTGAAGTCCAGAGAGTGCAACTCGTAGTCACGCTGAGCAGCGACGTGCAGCAACACCCGAAGATTAGTCATCTTCGGGATGGGGGAGAAGGTCTGGAAGTAGTCAACTCCCTGTCGCTGACTGAAGCCTCAAGCAACGTAACGCGCCTTGAAGGCAGGCGGAGAACCCGGCGGCCGCTTCACCCTGAAAATCCACATGCCATAGACTATGTTCGCCCCAGGTGGGGGAACCTCATCGACGTAGCTGCCTGTGGACTTCCAGGATGCCATCTCGGCATCCATGGCTGCCTGCCACTGAGAGGAGTAAGGACCCGTAATCGCCTCTGCGTAAGAACGCGGGGTCGGGATGTCTGGAGCATCCGGGTCTCCCTCAGGGGCAAGCAGCATGGAAGCAAAACGAGGTAGAGCAGCTGCAAGACACTCAAAGTCCTCCTGCCTGTCCTCAAGGATGTCCGTGCTAAGAGCACACTCACCCCCGACAGATGTAGGAATGGCACACGCAGACTCAGCAACAAGAGCAGTGGCGTAGTCTAGACCACAGGCAGCAGCAAAGTCAAGCAGCTTAGCAATGAGAGCAAACGCAGTAGCAGACTCAAAAGAATGGTCAGTGTCAGCAGTCGCGAGGAGACAAGAGACAGTGGGACTGGCAGTACGAGCGCGGTTAGACTCAGGGTCAGGGACCTCATGAAGAGAGGACTCAGGAGGAGCTCGCAGAGGAACGCGTAGAGGAACAGAGGAAGGACGAAGGGTCATAGCGTGCGTGCCGCGGACAGGTGGAGGACGCGAACGAGGAACGCGACGAGCAGTGCGAACAGGCAAGACAGGACAAGACGCAGGCTCACGACGCTCTGTAAGACCGCCAGACTGCTCAGTGTAAGGAGAAGGAGCAGGCTGTGGAGAGGCCGGCTGTAACGGCGACTGCGACTGGTCAGGCGGGGGACACAGGAGGGGAGGAGTAAGGGCAGCAAAAGGCGGGGTACCAAGAACCTGCTGGAGCAGGGGAACGAAGTACGGTCGCGGCCGCACAGTACCACCAAGGTCACCAGATCCAGCTCCTCTAGCTCCAGTACCTCCAACACCAGGGCCTCCTGCGCCAGTGCCTCCAACTCCAGTGCCTCCAGCGCCACCAGCGCCAGTATTACCAGACTCCGTAAGGACTCCAGCTCCAGCACCCCCAACACCACCAGTCCCGGCAGCTCCAGTACCCCGGGTACGAGCACCTCCCGGACCACTGGTCGCAGTACCTCCAGGAACACCAGCTCCAGCAGCTCTCTAGTACCTCCAGCACCTCCAGCTCCAGAAGCTCCACTCCGAAGGCGTGGACGCCGAACAAACCACTCACGCAACTGCTGCAGAGACAGTCTCGGCGAAGCACCAGCAGAACCTCCAGACGAAGCAGCACCCTGAGGCTCCACACCTCCAGACTCCGCACCCTCCGACTCAGCACCCCCAGGCTCAGCACCCCCAGGCTCAACGCCCTCAGGCTCAGCACCCCCAGGCGCAACACCCCCAGGCTCAGCACCCCCAGTCTCAACACCCCTAAGCTCAGCACCCCCAGTCTCAACACCCCCAGGCTCAACACCCCCAGTCTCAGCACCCTCAGACTCCGCACCTCCAGGCTCCGTACCCCCAGACGCAGCACCTCGAGCAGCACCTGAGTCGACAGCTACCTGAACAGGCGCAGGACCAGGGAGAGGGTCTACCTGAGACACACCTGAGGGAGCAGGAACCTGGGGTGGGAGGGGGTCTGCCGGAGGGGGACCGGGAGCAAGGAAGAGCGGCGGGGGCGGGGGAGGGGCAGAGAGGTAGGGGAAGAGGCGGTAAAAGGGAACTAGAAGGTGGTGCCACAGAAGAGTCTGGTGCGACAGGAGGCGACACGAGCAAGAGGCGGCTACCTGACCTGACGCGGACACCTGAGCAGATGCACCTACCTGAGAAGGCTCGGTAGTGAGTGTGTACAGACTCGACCCTGGTCGACGAGTGAACATGGCCAGGTGACGCCCCATCCGTGTGCACGTGCAGATCGACATACGCTGACCCCCAGGAGTGGTGGTAGTGACCATCGCATCCTGAAGGGCAGCGGTACTCACCAAGTTTGTAGAGAACGCGGGGAGGTGAAGACCTGACAGTGAGCCGGACGGAACCGCCGAACACGGGAGGACACTGGAGGAACGGGCCACGACCGGTCCCCCGGAGGGATCAGCCAGTCTGACCGGGACACGTGCAGGAAGAGGAGTGAGGGTGGTGCTGTCACGAAAGAAACAGCGCGAGGCGCCGAAGTCCAATGTGAAAGTGTGCAAGGCCGCAGCAGGCGCAGTACCAGGGAGAGTACCAGACTCACTAGCACCTAGTGAAGCAGCGGCTATACCTGGGTCAGGCGGCACACACCGGTAACAGTCACCCTCAGCACTAACAGACAAAGCATACATAGCAGAAAGAATAGCATCAAAGTCTAGGTCAAAGATAGCAATCCTAGACTTAAGCAGATCTACCCAGCGAGGGAGCTCGGCGTCGTCACCAAACTCAGCGCGCCAAGCGTCGTCGAGGCGGGAGAAGCAGCGGTGCTGAGTGTGGAGCCGCCCGCAAGTCTGCCCAGCACGGTCACCTGTGCCAATGACATACGGGCAATTACCCCCAGACGCCCCACGCAGAAACCACTCACGAAGCTGCTGGGGAGACGGGGTCTCGCTCCGACGCTGCTGCTGCTGACGCTGGCCACCCCCAGAACCGACACGCCGAGCGCCAGGCCCACCGCTACCAGTCCCACAGCCTCCACTGCCGCCACTCCCACCGCTGCCTCCACCACCGCCACCAGAGCCCCCACTCCCGCCAACAGTCGCACCGCCGCCACCACCTCCACTGCTGCCCCCACCACCACTCCCGCTGCCACCTCCACCACCGCCGCTGCCACCTCCACCACCCCGGCCACCCTTGCCCTTGCTGCTGCGGCGCTTCGCACTAGTAGAAGCAGCCCCGACGTCCTCAAGAACAGAGACGTCAGCAGCAGCAGCAGAGGCGTAGGAGGGGGCAAGTGGGGAGGGGGAACACCCCTCAAAGAAGGGCAGGCGCGGAGTGCCACGAGCAGCACCTACAGCAACTGCACTAGTCTCAGCTGCGAGGAGATGCTGCTCGAGGAGGTCAACAGTGAGGGAGGTGGGGTGAAGAGAGAGGAAGTGGTCCCTGACAGAGCGAAGAGAGTCAGGGAGGCGGGTAACTATAAAGTAGAGAGTGATGTACATCGGGGGCGGGTTCCTGTTAAGGAACTCAGCAGGAACAGCAGCGCGGTAGTGAGCATCACTAGCGCGAAGGTGGGAAACAAAGTCCTCCACTGTGGTAAAGGTGGACAGCTCGGGGAACTGTTAGGGCAGAAGAAGGCAGCCTAGAGCAGTAGTGGCAGGGGAGGAGTAGCGAGCAACTACAGCGTCGTACAGTGCCTGCGCTGTCCTGTGCTGTCCGAAGTGAGCGCATTCAGCTAATGGCAGGTGGTTGCGAATGGCTAAGCGGGCAGCAGCATCACGAGTAAGCCACTGTGAGCGAGTCGAACTGTCAGCTGTGGCGGGAGGGGCAGTAGCAGCGCATGACGCTAGGTCAAATAGAGAGACACTGTCCTTAGAAACGCTCAGTAGGTACAGCTGCACGTCGTCTAGCCACGTGTCAAACTGAACCGGTCTGCCCTCATGATCAAACACGAGAACCCGAAGCGAAGCCATAGCTGTGGGGCCGGGCGCGGGCGCGGAACGGGGTTGAGCGCAGACTAGGGACGGGGCCGGGCGCTGGGGTCGACGGGCCGCGGGCTAGGGGTCGACGGGCCGCGTAGGCTAGGAGCGACGGGCCGGGCGCGCGTAGGTTAGGGTCGACGGGCCGGGCGTGTAGGCTAGGGTCGACGGGCCTAGGGGCGACGGGCCTAGGAGGGGTTACTAGCAGCGTAGCAGGTGGTGGGCCCAAGGAACCTGCTCTGATTCCATGTCGAAATAACGAACAAGAATGAATGAACTAGCAAACAGTTGGGTACAAGTACTAACTCTAATTGGGTTGTACCCCTTATCGGCTACCCCACTACAGCCTACACAAATGTATAAGCTACAATGTTCTGACAGGGTGAAGCAAACGTGACGGGGTAAGCAACGGGGACGGTTAACAAAGGCGGGGGTCAAGAAAAGGCGGCGGGGGAAAGGGAGGGCAAGGGGGGAAGGAGCTGGCGACGGGGGAAAGCGAGGGCGACGGTGTGAAACAAAGGCGACGGGGGAAGCCGATCAACGAGCAGTGCGCGACCGAAGACAGAATGCGAGAGCGACGGGGAGGGCAAGGACGACGGGGGAAAGGGAGGGCGATGGGGGAAGCAATGACAACGGGGGAAAGGGAGGGTGACGGGGAAAAGGGAGGGCGACGGGGGAAGGAGTGGGTGTCGGGGGCAAGAGAGAGCGACGGGAGAAGGAGTGGGCAGCGGGGGAAATCGAGGGCGATGGGGGAAGCAATGACAATAGGGGAAAGGGAGGGTGACGGGGAAAAGGGACGGCGACGGGGGAAGGAGTGGGTGTCGGGGGCAAGAGAGAGCGACGGGAGACGGAGTGGGCGGCGGGGGAAATCGAGGGCGACGGGGAAAGGAGTGGGCGGCGGGGGGAATCGAGGGCGACGGGGGAAGGAGTGGGCGGCGGGGAAAAATGAGGGCGACGGGGGAAGGAGTGGGCGACGGGGGAAAATGAGGGCGATGGGGGAAGCAATGACAATGGGGGAAAGGGAGGGTGATGGGGAAAAGGGACGGCGACGGGGGAAGGAGTGGGTGTCGGGGGCAAGAGAGAGCGACGGGAGAAGGAGTGGGCGGCGGGGGAAAGCAAGAGCGACGGGAGAAGGAAAGGGCGGTGGGGGAAACCGCGAGCGATGGGAGAAGGAGTGGGCGGCGGGGGAAAGCTAGAGCGACGGGAGAAGGAGTGGGCGGCGGGAGAAAGCGAGAGCGACGGGAGACGGAGAGGGCGACGGGGGAAAGCGAGAGCGACGGGAGAAGGAGTGGGCGGCGGGGGAAAGCTAGAGCGACAGGAGGAGTGGGCGGCGGGGGAAAGCTAGAGCAACGGGAGAAGGAGTGGGCGGCGGGGGAAAGCGAGAGCAATGGGAGACGGAGTGGGCGACGGGGGGAAATCCAGGGCGACGGGCTAAGGGGAGTGTGAAGGTGGAAAGTGAGGGTGACGGTATGAAATAAAGGCGACGGGGGAAGCTGATCAACGAGGAGTGTGCGAGCGAAGACAGAATGCGAGAGCGACGGGGAAAGCAAGGACGACGGAGGAAAGGGAGGGTGATGGGGGAAAGCGACGGCGACGGGGGGAGGAGTGGGTGTCGGGGGCAAGAGAGAGCGACGGGAGGAGTGGGTGTCGGGGGCAAGAGAGAGCGACGGGAGAAGGAGTGGGCGGCGGGGGAAAGCGAGGGCGAAGGTACCATGTAGCTAAATATCTCACCTTGTGAGATCGCCAATTCACGGTGACTTTGCCGCCAATTCGCAATAATCTCGCGGAATAGCCACCAGCGGGGGCAGAAAGTGACGCCTAACCCCAAGTTCAGTACTTATATCGCAGGTAACCGCAAGGATTTGTCACAGAAGGAAAATGCAAGGATTTGTCTGGCAACGATTTGGAATACGGAATTCGAGACACAAGACGTCGAGCAGAAGTGATGACGGAGTTCATTGCCCCCTAAGCGGGCCTGTCGATAGGTTTGGGGTCAACGCGTGGGAGTCTGTGGTGCCTAAAACTCTGCCCTTAACCCGAAGGGCTGAGACCAAACATAACGTTTAAAAACAGGGTTACAAACTGAAACGGCCCCTTGCTAAGAACGGGCAAATGGTGCCGTTTAAACATCATCCACCTTAATTCAGTGGCAGGGTGGGTTCAGTTCGCAGGGAAAAGCGATATGGCTACAACTATTCATCAAGGTTAGGCAGCTACACATCAATTTAGTCATACGGGCTAGCAAGCAGGTGGGTACAAGTAGGAAACCTAAAAGTGTTGTACCCTATATGAACTACCCCACTACAGCCTAAACAGACTATAGCATAAAATTTTGACACACCACCATAGGCAAAGTGGGGGAGAACAAGAGGTCACAAGACCGGTCAAGAAAGGCAAAGCAAGCTCAGGGTGGACCACAAAGTCACCACGCAGTCTGAGCACAAGCAAATGGCCACAAGGCCAGCTCACATGCAGAGTTATATAAAGGAGAACAAACAATACAGTGAACACAACCTAGCAAGTGTAAGCATGCAGGTATATGTATAGAGAGTACAGTACAAGCAGAGTCAAGAAGTAAGCAAGTGAGGCACAGTAGGTACAAGGCCAAGAACAGTACAGAAACGCTGATGATCACAAGGCTGAAGTGCTTTGGTGAAAACATCAGCAGTGTTGGCCTGTGAGGCCACGTAAGCAAGACAAAGCTGACCACGCTGCTGCAACTCTCGAGCAAGGAAGTAGCGCAGAGCAATGTGCTTCGTTCTGTGCTCCAGTCTGTGCTCCTGACACAAGGCAAGCATGGCCTTGTTGTCGACGTACAGAGCTGGAGGAGAACGAGGCGCCTCTCCCAAGTCGGTCAGCAGGTAGGTGAGCCAGCGTAACTCCTGTGCAGCCATGGCCCCAGCGTAGATCTCAGCCTCACAACTGGAGCTGAGAACAGAAGAAGAGTGGGTAGACCGCCAAGAGACAGAACCGGAGCCAAGACTGAAGGTGTAACCCTGTGACGACCGCTGCGTAGCCAAGTCGTCAACCCATGAAGCGTCTGCGTGACCAGTGAGGACAACTCGAGCCCGTCCTCCAAGCACAAGCCCCATGCCCGACGTACTGCACAAGTAGCGCAACACCCTCTTCGCAGCATCCCAGTGCACCTTCCGGTGCCTACCGAGAGCCACGTAGCGTGCCAGAAGGCTGAGAGGGTATGCGAGGTCAGGTCGTGTGCAAGTCATCAGGTACATGAGGCAGCCCACAAGCTATGGATACGGGCCACTCGGCTCTACGGACTCGTCCGAAGGTGGAGCTGAGAGCGAGTGACCGGTAGGCAGAGGAGTGGACTGTGGCGAGGAGTACGTGAAGCCGAAGCGCTGAAGGACCTGCTGCACCATGTAGGACCTGCTGCTGAAGGTAATGGTGCACTGTGCTCTGTCCCGGGTGATCCGCAAGCCAAGATAGCTTGTCAGCTAACCCAGGTCTCTGCACGTGTGTCTCTTCTGCAGCTCCGACTTCACGTGGGCGAGTGCCTCAGTGTCAGCAGTAGCAAAGACCAAGTCGTCTACGTACACGAGAACGTAGAACGGTGGCAGAGTGGTGTCAGTGCGTAAAAACAGCGACGGGTCAGCAGTGGAAGGAGCAAAACCAAGAGCAGCAAGAGTCGTCCTCAGTGTGTCGTGCCACTCACGGGGTGCCTGGCGGAGACCGTAGACTGGCCGCCTGAGGCTCCACAGGGTACCAGCAAGAAACGACCCAGTGAAGCCAGGTGGGCGGCGCAGCCAGATCTCCTCGTGCAGGCTGCCCTGTAGGAAGGCTGTGCTGAAGTCAAGCGAGTGTAGCTCGTAGTCACGCTGAGCGGCGACGTGCAGCAGCACCCGAAGAGTGGTCATCTTCGGGGTAGGGGAGAAGGTATGGAAGAAGTCAACTCCCGGTCGCTGACTGAAGGCTCGTGCAACGTAATGCGCCTTGAAGACAGGCGGAGAACCCGGCGGCCGCTTCACCCTGAAGATCCACATGCCACTGACGATGTTCGCCCCAGGCGGGGGAACCTCGTCGACGTAGGTGCCTGTGGACTTCCAGGAAGCCATCTCTGCGTCCATGGCTGCCTGCCACTGAGAGGAGTAGGGACCCTCTATCGCCTCTACATAAGAGCGCAGGTTCGGGATGTCTGGTGCATCCGATCTCCCTCAGGGGCAAGCAGCATGGACACGAGATGAGGTACAGTAGCGGCAAAGCACTCAAACTCCTCCTGTCTGTCCTCAAGAACGTCCGTGCCAAGAGCACACTCACCCCCGACGGACGGAGGACAGACAGACGCAGATGCAGACTCAGCAACAAGACTAGTGGCGTAGTCTAGGCGACAGGCTGCAGCAAATTCAACAAGCTCAGCAACTAGAGCAGACGCAGCAGTGGACTCAAACAAAGGGTCAGTGATAGCAGTGGCCAGAAAGCGCGGGACAGTAGTGTCAAACTTAGTCATTCATCCTCGTTCTAAGTTTCTCATGGTATCGAGCAGGTTCCCTCGTGGGAACTGTTCTTAGGGCCCACCAAGATTTTTTTTTTTTTTCCTACCCGGGGCGCGTGCCGCCCCTGCCCGAAGCGCGCCTAGTGTCCCGCCCCTCAGGCCCCATCGCTGCCCTCTCTAGGCCCTACGTGGCCCCTTAGCGGCCCCGTCGCCGCCCCTTACGGCCCCGCGACCGCCCCTTACGGCCTCGCGACCGCCCCTTACAGCCCCGTCGCCGCCCCTCACGTCCCCGCGACCGCCCCTTACGGCCTCGTCGCCGCCCCTCACGGCCCCGCGACCGCTCCTTACGGCCCCGTCGCCGCCCCTTAAGGCCCCGTCGCCGCCCCTTACGGCCCCGTCGCCGCCCCTTACGGCCCCGTCGCCGCCCCTCACGGCCACGCGACCGCCCCTTCAGGCCCCGTTGCCGCCCCTTACGGCCCCGTCGCCGCCCCTTTCGGCCTCGTCGCCGCCCTTCAGCGGCCCCGTCGCCGCCCTTTCGGCCTCGTCGCCGCCCTTCAGCGGCCTCGTCGCCGCCCCTCAGCGGCCTCGTCGCCGCCCTTCAGCGGCCTCGTTGCCGCCCCTTGCGGCCCCGTCGCCGCCCTTCGCGGCCCTGCCGCCCTTCCTCGGCCCCTCAGCCGCCCTTCCCAGCCCCGTCGAGCAGCCGAGCCGTCGTCACCGCCGAGCTGCCGAGCTGCCGAGCCGCCCTTGCCGCTGTGCCGCCGAGCTGCCGAGTCGCCGAGCCGCCGAGCTGCCGAGCCGCCGAGCCCCCGAGCTGCCGAGCCGCCGAGCCGCCGAGCCGCCCTGCAGCCGAGCTGCCGAGCCGCCGAGCCGCCGAGCCGCCACGCCACCGCAGCCGAGCCGCCGCAGTCCCTGCCGTCGCGGCCCTGTCCCTGCCGGCCTGCCTCGGCCCGCTCCACCTGCCTGGTAAGAGCAGCGCCTCTGCCACTGCACTGCCCTACCCCGCTGCTCTCTCTGCCAGTCTACTGCTGTCATGGCCACCCCCAGTGTTCTCACCTTTGACGCTGAGGGTCGGGCTGTTGACTTTGAGGTTTGGGTAGATGATCTGCAACTTTTCCTACAGTGTGATAGGGCAGACGGTCTCTCTCTGTTTGACCTCACCTCTGGTGCCTCTCCTGCCCCTGCTGCTGATGCTGACGCCACTGTTCGCTCACAGTGGGCCACGCGCGATGCTGCTGCTCGCCTTGCTGTGCGCCGCCACTTACCGACCGCTGAGCGCGCGCATTTTAGTCAGTACAAGAGTGCTAAGACCTTGTACGACGCTGTCCTTGCACGCTACTCTTCCCCTGCCACTGCTGCCCTTAGCCGCCTCGTACTGCCGTACCTCTTCCCTGACCTCGCCGCTTTTCCCACAGTCGCTGACCTCATTACGCACCTTCGCACTAGTGACACTCGCTACCGCGCTGACTCCTGCTGAGTCTCTCCCCCGGTCCCTCCCTCCCCTTCCTCCGGGGCCTGCCCCCACCTGCGTTCCCTGCGTCGAGGGGCGGCAGCGCGCTGCTCCTCACTCCTCTGCAGACAGCGAGTTTCCTCCGACAGCGGCTCCGCTGCAGATGCTTCACATGGACGTGTGGGGCCCAGCCCGCGTCCGTGGACAGGGTCACGAGCGTTACTTCCTGCTGGTGGTTGACGACTACTCGCGTTACACCGCAGTCTTCCCCTTGCGCAGCAAGGGTGAGGTCACTGAGGTGTTGATCGCCTGGATCCGCGCAGCTCGTCTCCAGCTCAGAGAGAGTTTCGGCTCGGACTTTCCTGTTATGCGTCTGCACTCTGACAGAGGCGGAGAGTTCTCCTCTGACCTTCTGCGAGCCTTCTGTCGTGCACGAGGCATCCGCCAGACCTTCACGCTTCCGGAATCTCCACAGCAAAATGGGATTGCTGAGCGCCGCATTGGCATGGTCATGGACGTCGCTCGTACGTCTATGGTCCATGCGGCTGCCCCCCATTTTCTGTGGCCGTTTGCGGTTCGGTACGCGGCGCATCAGATCAACCTTCAGCCCCGGGTCTCCATGCCGGAGACCTCCCCTGCTTTGCTGTGGACGGGGAAGGTTGGCGATGCGTCTGCGTTCCGTATCTGGGGATCTCGGGCGTTTGTCCGCGACTTGTCTGCGGACAAGCTGTCCCCTCGTGCTGTTCCCTGCGTCTTCCTTGGCTTCCCCCCTGACGCGCCGGGCTGGCAGTTCTACCACCCCACCTCGCGCCGTGTT